TATAGAATATTGAAATAAAAATTAAAAAAAAAAAAAATAATAGCAAAAAGGAAATGATTTTAATAAATTGAAGGTAATTTTAATTAATTTGGTTCATTGAATAAAATTATAGGAAAAAAAAAAGTAGAAAAATGATATTTTTGTTGTGAAAAAAAATTAAATCAAATTTCTTGATATTTTGTTAGAATTGAGTTGTTTACTGTCATTTGATTTTTTTATAATTCAAATAACTTCAAATTTATTTAAATTTTTAATTATTTATAAATGATAGATTTTAATAATAAAATCTTTAAACGATATTGTATATAATGTCATATTCATTTGTAAAAATTGAAAACTTAATCATGTATAACTAAGGGTATTTCATTAATTTAACTATATTTAACTAATAACGTGGAATTCACCTCATGTGGGGTGATTCGTGAATATTTTTTAAAGAGCATTACAAAAGTTTACGATTTTAGAGAAAAATATTCAGACTTCGATTCAAATTATGTTAAAATTTGAGGTAAACATGTGGCACGTGTAGAGAGACTATATACATACGTCAAAATATCGAAACCAAAAAATCAAGATGACATTAGATTTAGCAACATACAAATTATTAAATTTCCTCTCAAATACATAAGTCAAATTTATTTTTTCATAAGAGAAATTCAAATTGTGAGCAACACAAATTGAAAATTTTCGAATTCTACTCTGGGCCAGAAAAATTTTAATTTAAGTGCTATAAATTGCGGTATAAAACGTATTTGCTCAGAATTCTCTAGCTTTTTTTCTTTATAGGTCTTTAAGTCGGGATCAAACGTTATTAGAACGTCTATTAGAATAAATCTGATTACGTCCAAATTCTGTAATTTAATTCATTCTTATCTAAGTATCTGTCGTTTTTGATTCTTCTGTTATTTTGGTTAAAAATATTTTGTATATCTGTACCCGAAATGACTCAAATATTGCTCAAGTATTGTAAGCACCATACAGCGATCAAGTGAGAATTCTCTTAAGGCTTATTTTCAAATCTTAATAATTCTTAATTAAAATATGACCAAAACAACAATCAGAGATATTTTAATTATAAATTTTTTTTTAATTCAAATTTTTAATAATTTCACTCATATATGTATATATGAAATGATTCACAATGTTACAAATTAGTCAGACATGGAATTACCAAATGATTTATTAATTTTATATTAAAAATAAACAAATTATTTCCTGTATTTAGACCACCAAAAACAAAAATAAAATTAACATCCTAAAAGAAAGGGTCGATGCAAAAAATCAAATACCAATGAAATTGAATTTCCGTTCAAAAAATTCATTGAAAAATTGAAAATTTTTGTTGATTTTCGACTAATTTTAATACCACAATTACACATTCATATTTTATGGTAACCACAAAAATCGCGACTAAATCTAAATAAAAGTAGATAATAAATTGATATATATATAATATATATATACCTAGTATGTCATACATTAATGAACAAATGTTGAAATTTTATAATTTATGTGTGTATGTATATATAATATGTATAAAAATGTTTTGTATATAATATTACGAGCCTCATATCAAGCAAATATTGTTCGGCGTGCGTCTTTAATTTAAAATCATTCTCTTAAAATCCGAGGGTCTAATTATTATCCCTTCGGCCTTCGAGTATATAAGCCACTTGATCCAATGCTATGCGACTGTAACACAGAATATGCTTTGTACCATGCATTAGACTTTAACCCCATTCACTCTCTCGTTCAACTAGCTTAGAAGATGAATAAAATTTCGTCTCTGCCACCATACGGACGTGGGACGAATAAATATTTAAGGCGAAAACAAAGTTCTACCGACCATATATTTGGTTGAGTTTTTTTTTTTCATATAATTATCATAAAAAGACTACATTAATTGCAATTTATCACTGCATTCTTCCACATCGCATAGGTTATGTTTAGATAACAATACAATGACCTCTTCAATATAATGATTTACATACAAATTTATTTTACAAAAACGTCACTCAGATGGCAAAAAATCACATATACCATTTTTTAATGTTTTCCTCGTTTCAAACGGCCCACATTATGTAAATTTTTCATTTTTAATATTTTTGGATTCTTTATAGTTCATAGAGGGCATCTTAGCAATAAAAATAGGTTTTTAACCAAAATAATAATATGACGTATACATAGTACAAAAACACAGCCACCACCTGTCTAACCAAAAATTAAAAATTCAATAAGAGTTTGATTTAGGTGTTAAATTTGTTAGATATATTCCATGTTCTTCCATAGGTCTAAAAAAAAATATAAATCAATTTTTTTTTTCTGCGACCGTCATCATTAATTTTTCTTCTATTTCAATATCTTTTACAAAAACAAATTTTTTTTTATTCTGCATTTAAATTTTTTCTTTACTATTTTTACATATTTGGGGTTTATTTTTCGGCTTTAATGTGCACAAATGTCACATATTGTTGACATTTTTCTTGTTCTACTTTTGTGTCATATTTTTTTTTCTCTCTCTCTTTTGTAGTCAATGATGCGTTTTTAGGTCAAGGACGTCATTTATTTGTCATTTGTCATAAAAAAAAAAATTTATGTCGCAAAACAAGAAATAAAAAATAAAAGCATAAATGCTATTAAAAATATTTTTTGGAATCTGCTGATTGAGTAGTCAAAAAAAAAAGAAAGAGAATAATGGAAAAGGAAGTGACTCGTTTTTCTTGTTGTTTCTTGTTGTTTTTTATGCTGTAGTGAAAATATAAACAAAAGAATAATATGAAAAATAAATATTTTCTTTGGATATTTTTTTCCCAAAAGATTAAAACGAAAAAATTTAAACAAAACTGAATAATGATTATATGCGAAATATGAAGGGAGAAGTGAGATAAAAAATGAAATCAATTTAAAAAATTAATTTTTCATTAAACAAAAAAACAAAAACTAAAAAAAGAAACACAAAAAACTACTCAACAAAAATATGATTTTAGTGTACGGATTGAAAAATTTGCGTAAAACAAATAAATTTTTTTGAAAAATAAAATCAATTGTATACCGTCATAGTAAAATCGAATGTCATAGTAAAATATATAGATATAGTGTCTATAGTTAAGAAAACACTACAATTTTAAGATATAGATAGAAGAGGCAAAAGCAATTCGAAAAACAACCCCAAAAAATATAAAGAACGAAACGGCTACAGCTATAAAATAATGTGAAGAAAGGGCATAAATTTAACAAATCGTAGGATGATGTGTGATTTAGCGGATAGCCGTCTATGGACAACAAAGTGTTTGCAGGAAGCCCTATATTTGAACAAAAAAAAATTAATATAAATACCATTACACGTACATACTTTACATTCAGAACTAAGTTAATATTGAATTTTTGAAAAAGGCCAGTGAAATTACAGTTAAATACACAATACTGTTTCGACTGAAGTTAGCATTTTAATTTAACCAACATTATTAACCATGTATGAGAATAACATTAAAACCACGTTAAGTGGTGGCGATAGTATATTAATGTTTCTTATTTTGTTGCTGTTAATGCGTCAACAATTTATAATATGTGAAATTTTTTTATTTTAAATATGATATTGTTTTGAATTTTTCTTTTTGCAAACTACAATGTATATTACAAGTTTATTTTAATTTATTTTTAGCTTAGCAGGAAGAAATTTTCCAAATGCGAACAGATCGGGAAAAACTACATATACTCGTAATATGTGAACATCGGAATTTAGATAAATAAACAAAAATAACAAAAATATTCAACTACAAAAAATACAATAATAATACCAATATAAAAAAGGCTCTATAGGTCAACTACATTAGAAAAGGTTAATGACTTCCTTTTCATTCAACATTTCATTTTGATTAAATAGTAAAAATATACCGTAAAAATAGCGAATAAAAATACAATGTACAAGGAAAAATCAATTTCAAAATGAATTTAAAAATGAAATAAATAAAAAATAAAGTGAAATCAAATAAAAAAATTCATGTGAAACGCATACATGTTAATAGAATTGGTATAAGTACAATGTGAAGCCTTATAAAAATTACGATATTAATTGCAAAAAATGTAATCATAGTTAACGAAAATTGTAATACAAAACTAATATTTCGAGTTGAAAATTTATTTTTTATTATAGAAAAATTAAAATAGCAATTTGAAATGCAGATCTTTTCCTTTATAGAAGTTGAATTTTAATTCGAATTTAATGAATCCGTAAAATAAAAGTCGCTTTTAAAAGTATTTGGGTAAAAACATACTTTAAATTCGGGAAATTAGGCCTTACAAGATAATTTATTTCATTTCAATGCAAAGTTATTTACGAAATTTTCTAATAGAATCGTAAATTACCCTCCGTTCCTTTATTTTCGAAATCGTGGCTCATTTAAGCTCTGTTTCCAGTGAGCATATGTTCCGGAAATTGCATAAAAATCGAATATATACTTGTAAAGTAAATTTTATATCCCCGTCACTTGCCGAAAAAAGTTAATATTCCTTTGTTCCAAGTTGTATAATACGATAGAACCGGACAGGCTATCGATTTACTACAAGAAATGAATTGAAATAAATTGAAAATTTCTACCAATTTCAGTTGATCAAAATAATCGCGACAAACAGCCTAAAAAACAATGGAAAGAAGTTCATTAACTTCTCATAGTAGGTTTTCAAACTTAAATTCAATTCAATTACCATTGAATTTTTATTGGTCGATTTAGTACTAATCCAATTATAGAATTAGTTGCAATTTAATTTACACGACCTAAATTAATTTTTTTTTCTATATACGCTTTTAAATTTTATATACGCTATATACGCTTTAATCCAAATAGCACTTTAATTTAATCAATGTTAAATTTTAATGTACATAATATGTACACATACATATACAAACATACATATATACATACATTTGTATGGAAATGTTTAATAGACAAATATTTAATATTTTAAAATTAAAGAAAGAAAAAAATCATATTTTGACTTACCATCACCACGAATCTCATTCTCTGATGGATCAGTTCCAAATTCATCATAATATTGATCATGTTGTTTTGATTCAACACTTTGTAAGGCTTCTTCATCTCCACCTTTATCATCAAATACTTCAGCTGGTTCATCATGTGCTGCTGGTTCATCATTCTTTGGTCGTCTTAAATTTTTTAAATGATTACGCCTTGTTGGCCTTTGATTCAGTCTTTTTGGAGATTGTGTTATGGATGGTGGTAAAATTTCTTCAATTGTTGGTACTTTTTGTTGTGCTTTTCTATGTGGAAATAATCTTCGTTCAATATAATTTGCAAAAATTTGTTGTGTAATACGATTTTGTCTTTCAATTTCAGCTGGATCTAAGTCTGTTGCTATAATGATTTTTTTTTTTTTAAATAAAAATAAAACAAATTATAATTGAGCTTTTGTGAAAAAAAATTTAATTTTAAAAATGAAAAATTTTGATTTTAAAAGCAAAAAATTTTTAAATGTTAACTTCGATTTGAATTTTTCTAAATTATAAAGTTTAAGTATAGGAATGTGATATTACACGACTTTGGGACAGAAAAATTAACTACTATTAAAATATGGAAAATAAAATATGGATACGCGTAACTAACTTGGATAATCTATGCATTTATAAATTTTATCAAAAATAGTGTTCGTGTTAGGAAATATAATGTAAGCAATTTGTGAGAGAGAAAACAAATGAGTGCAAAGTAAAAGACTTAGAGTCTTAAGATATTTAAAGCGCTGTACCGCTCTCATTAAAATTGCAATGAAATATGCTTAATGAGTAAATTGTAATGAAATATGCTTAATATCATTCTCACTGAGAATTTGCAGAGTAAAATTTTTCACATTTCAAATTGAAGAAGAAACATCGAAATAAATAAAATAATTTAACTCGACGTTCAATTTCTAAATGGCTGTTATATTCAACTTCATTGTAATAGATTTATACACATATTAATTAAATAATCTCATCATAATATTTTAAACATATATTCAAAATTAGCACAAACATATTTGATTTATTTATCTCATAATATTTTATTAATTAAATCTAGATCTATTCTTCATAAATCCACATTAGTACACAAAATGTTATAAGCATAGCATATTTTAAAGAAAATATAAATCTACCTTTGAAATTAATATTCAATCCTTCAATATTTCCCCAGAAACTTGTTCATATACATATCCTATATAGCACACATATATTTAATTTAATTATAAATTCATGCCTTAATTTAAATTAAATATTTAATTTTGCAAATATATAACACATCTATTGTATAAACATAAGTACATATCTACTTTAATTAGTTAAACTAAATAAATATATTAAAAACAGCGAGAGGGAGAGAGTGAGAGAAAGAGAAAAAAAGAATGTATCTCACGTACAACATATTAATTTTAAATTTTCACTCACAAAAGGATCACAAATAATTTCAATTTTCATTATCCTTATTGACATAATAACGCTTCAAAAATAAATATTCCTTTTTTACTATATATACATTATTGTGATAGATCAAAAAAAAAAAAAAAAACTCGTATATAACATATCTATGTAGGTATGTACTCGTGTATATTCATTTTTATTAATATGAGTGCACACATATACATACTACTCGTACCAGAGATATACTTATATTGTATAAATACTATGAACGCGACTATAGTTCTGAATAAAAACAATATAACAAAAGGAAGTTCCTATGAAATCAATTCTCCTTTTATTTTCCATAAAGACAACTATTAAAGTAAGCATTTACATATATGTAGATAGAGCTATAGCTATAGGTTAATTCACGTGTATATAAAAATGGATATATTATATTATATAAAGAGGATTTTGTTTTTATTTGATAAATAAAAAAAAATCTTTTATGTAACGATTGACATCAACAATTTTTATATGTCAAAGAGATCATTTCTACGTCAAATATTTTATTATATATATATGTATGTACATATATGGGGCTCAATGTGTTTCTGATTAATTTATTTTGTGAATAGATTTTTCTTATCAACTTATATTATTGTGAATTTTAAGTATTTAAATATTAAATATGTTTACCTTTTAAAGAGGATATTTTAAATGAAGTCCATATTGTATAACAGTATAAAATAAGTATATCTAATTTAATAAAAAAATTTAATATTAGAAGATTTTTAAAATCTACGCAGGTTTTCATTAAAATGAAATTTGACATAACATATATGTATATAAATTTACCTAATTCAATTAGATCAGAAAAAGAAAATTTTAACGAAATGTTTTAGAAAATTTTATTCACACCACATTTCATTTGCAATTTATTATTGAAAACTCCGGTATTTTATTTCTAATATTGTTTCATTGCTACTGTTTAACTGTTATATTATGGTTACTAAAATTAGCTGACACGTCAAACTCAATTTACCGATTTGATAGAATTTAAAAACCAAATTTCAATTAAAAAATCTTTAGTTTATCATCGTACATTTGTGAAACAAGTAAAAGAAAAGTTGTTGGAATACTGGAGTTTTTGGTTATGAATATGAAACGTAATTTCTAGAACTGTGTACAGCATTTAATGATAACTTATAATTATTATACTTTTTAATTTAGATATTATTATTGTCAACAAGTAAAGCCGCCCATAGGTACAGTGACTCACCCTATATATAAAATTTTACATGTAATTTTTTTGGAAAAATTTTGGAATATTTGGAAAACGAGCATATGTATGTACTTTCAAAAATTTGGTCGAATATTTCAGAACGAAATTGTTTGGTGCAAATTGGTTTAATACAATAAATCACCTGTCCAATTATCCTAAGTCATAATTTACAAATTGTTCCAGAAGTTCAAATTAAAGATCGAAATTAAATTTCTATTAAAATTTTCGGAAGACAGCTTTAAACGAAGAAGAAACAGCTGCCTCATCTATAGATGACAATCATATGTCCTCATATGAAAATAAAATATATTATGAGGTATACACTCTCGCTTTCAGCGGGCAACTGACATAAGATATTGCTTGAAAAAAATTTTATAGAAAAATGAGTTCATGATAGTGCTGGCCTTAACAAAGCGAAATTCTAAACTGTGACATGTGAATTTTATAAATAAGGGTTAGAGGAACGCAAATATAATAAGAAAATATATTCACAATACCTAAAATATTACCTTACTTGTATATTATAATCAACTAACCGATTATTGAAAAAAAACCTATTACAAAAATAGAAAAGTTTTAATTATGATGACAATTTTAAATTATAACATTATTTTGAATTTCAAAATTTTTTAGAAAGGAAGAAAATTTATTTAATTATAACTTGATTTCTCAGCTGTTTTCTATTCTATTTCTATAAGTTGTAAATGCATGCTCGTCAAACTATAAATTTTATACCTATATCATTTTATCATTAAATACTTTCTAGTCTACCATATAATATTCGTGCATTAAAATACCTTTAAAATAGGGAAAAGAGTTAATGAACCGGTTTAATATAAATAGTTAACTTTGAATCAGGAGAGAATAAATTTCTTCAATGAACGAAAGCAATTATTTTAAGTTTATGTTATTATAATTGCATATAATTTCAAATAAGACTATGATCTATATGAAAGAGCACTGAAATAACCATAATTTTTATATCCCAACATTTAATCATACATATACATATATATGTATGGACTTGATTTTATTTTCATGTAAGCATTTTTCATGTCTTTTATAATGCATTGTTAAATTTTATAACATTTTTAGTTCAGAGAATGTTAAATATGGTATGAAAAGTGAAATGAATCATACTTTTATTTTCCTACTAAATTTTAACTATAAATGGTTGTGTAACTTAAATTTTTACTACTCAATTATAAAATTTAAATGGTAATAGTAAAACAATAATAGTAAAAAGCCGTATTTTAAAATTATTTTGTACAATTACTGCACATAAATTGAAAAAAAAATTTTGGATCAGCGTGAAATATTTTAACTAAATAACAGTTAATAACAGTCTACACAACATTGTACGTGCTTTATTTCTTTAATATAGTTACAAACACTTATAGTATAAGAGATTACATAAAAAATAAAAATACCCTATATACATATATTCATTATTGGATTAACTTTTCTAATTTAATCAACCAATTTTTTCCTTAAAACAAAAAAATTAAAGCACTTTTTAACCCATATGAACTATAATTACATATATTCATACGTGTATGAACGAACATAGTACGAACATGTTTGAAATTATTTGTAAATTATTTTACCATTTATGTTATTCTCATATAGGCACTTAAAAATTGCAAAAAATTTGCTATTTTCAAATAAATTAAGTTTTTTTTTTCTAATATTTTCCCTAACATATTTGCAAAATAATTAAATTGAATGCAATAATAAATATTAAGTAAAGTGCAAAATCATTATTACCAAAAATGATAATTACTGCGTAAATATTATAAAAAATTTGCTCTACATTTTATGTAAGTAGACCTGTAATTATTGAAATCCCAAAAATGCAAAAATTACAAGGCAAATAAAGATGAAGAGAAAAAATTAATTGATTGAAAAAAAAAATAACCAACATTCAACATTGTATGATACGAATGAAATAATTAAGTTTTAGAAATTGTTGTTATACAAAATAATTTTATAATTGAATTTCAACATTTTTTTTTAATTTAAATTATGTCATTATGTTAGAAAGAATGAAATTAACAATAATAAAGTTATAAAAGTAGTATGAAATCATTTGTGTTAATAAATTTTAATAATTTTGACATCAACAGTTTTATAAATAACTGTCCTGTTGTAATTTACAAAAATTTGGTTTAAAAAATTTTACATTGTAAAGTAGATCTCCAAAATTTTTGTAAACGCAACTCAGTATAACAAACCGCTCTAAATAGCAGAAATAGCATATAAAAAAAACATTACCCCGCTAGTTCGAATCAAAAACTATCTAAAATTTTTCGAATACTTTTTAGCACTGTTTTACTAAAATTGAAAGCCGTCGTCAAATGTTATTGTATCGAATATTGTTAGGAAAGTTTCGACAAGACCTACAATTTTTGTTCCAGGAGACTTTTAGAAATTTGGCCTGTGAAGTATTAGGTCCCGATAAAGGGATTAAAAGACAAAGCATGTTATAAGGACCCAGATACACTTTTTTTTTAAAGTATTGAAATTGTTGTATTTAAAAATAGTAATTTTGGAGATTTTTATCTTTTTAATAAAGTTCTACAGGGTTTGAACTAAATTTCATTTGAATTTTGAATTTTTTAAATTAAGTTAATTTTAACCTTAATGAACTTTAAAATATCAAATGTTATTAATTATTAAAATTACTTTGTATACACATT